ATATAGCTTCCTTGGATGCTTTACTTTCATAGTTCCTTGATAATGTGAGTAGTCACGAAAGCGCTTGAAATTTCTCTTTTCTTTCAGAGTGGTTGTTTTGCATATTCTGAAATCACCTGTTTACTGTGATCTTATTGCGCATATATATATATATATATATATATATATATATTATATATATATATATATATATATATATATATATATATATATATATATATATACACACACACACACACACACACACACACACACACACCGAGACACGTATTTTTCGGTCCGACTTTTACAATTTGCAAAGTCACGCAGTGTGACTGTAAATGGTCCAAGCCGGACCGAAACGTCTTCATAAGCTTCTCTCTCCTATGTGTGGGTTATTTGTGTATTGTTTCAGTCACGGTATTGTGCCTTTCTGTTCTTCAGACAAGTACCATAGCTGCAGGAGTCTGCCTCTCATGAATGACGAACGTAAGAGGCTGTAGCAAGGGAATGACATCATACCCAGTAAACGTAAAGTAGATCATTATTTATACCCTGGGAAAAAAAAATGAAAATAAATTAATGGGAATTCAAAGAGTTCGCATTTGAAGAAAAAAAAACTGAGCTGTGATTGAAAAAAAATATAAATCTTTCAAAACCAATAGAAAAGAAGCCTCAACAGTTATTTAGTTGTCCTGTTTCCTGACGACTCTTACCTAACCTAACAGTATTAATTATAGTAAACGACAGCATATCGTGTAGTCCATAGGTTTTAATCCCAGGTGACCAAGCCACTTTGGCTCATTCCACTAGTAGGCTAGTGGGGCATTTACAGTGCTTCTTTCATGAAAGTAGGCTATTTACAGTGTTTCTTTCATGAAAGTAGGCTATTTACAGTGTTTCTTTCATGAAAGTAGGCTATTTACAGTGTTTCTTTCATGAAAGGCTATTTACAATGTTTCTTTCATGAAAGTAGGCTATTTAGTGTTTCTTTTATGAAGGTAGGCTATTTACAATGTTTCTTTCATGAAAGTAGGCTATTTACAATGTTTCTTTCATGAAAGTAGGCTATTTACAATGTTTCTTTCATGAAAGTAGGCTATTTACAATGTTTCTTTCGTGAAAGTAGGCTATTTACAATGTTTCTTTCGTGAAAGTAGGCTATTTACAATGTTTCTTTCATGAAAGTAGGCTATTTAGTGTTTCTTTTATGAAGGTAAACCAGTGGTTCTACTACAATATTTGTTTCATGATAATTATCCAGTATTGTAAAACTGCTTCCATGCACCAGCGTCGGTTCACTTCAGGTTCGATACAATGGTCGACAACACAGTTCGGGTTCTCGCCAAGAGCATCGTCATCGTGGCTAATATTGCCACTGTGTCCGTCAAGGAACTAATGAGGGAACGAAGACTGTATCTCTCCTCCAGTTTTATTGCTGAGAGTTAACACAACTCCATTAAAACTGCCATGAGAGTGCGTGTGAGAGAGTGGAAAAACCAGTACAAATGTGCTGATGCCGACAGATTGTGTGGATTAAACAAATATACAAGATGTTTATTTCAGGAGACGTTTCGCCACTGGTGTCTGTATCAAATGCAAAAAAAAAATAGGTGAGTATGACACATGTGTGACAGGTCTCTCTATTTTCGAAAAGTTTCGCCTACACTATATAATAGGCTTCTGCAGTCTAATAGAGAGATGACTAAATATAGAGACAGCAGCAGTGGAGAGGTAAAGATGACGATCCGTCCATCAGTCTTCAAGAATTAGTCCCGGAAATATCTTTATTTCTACAAGTACATGTACAAGGTATACAGTCCTAGCTGACATCAGTGACATACTACTACATATAAAGTCCCTTGATATCCAGAGCATATCTGGAAAATTTGGTCAGTTTTGTCCCAGGATGCTACCCACACCAGTCAACTAACACCAAGGTTCCCATTATACTGAAGGGTGAACATAGACAGCAGGTGTCCTAAGGAAGCACATCATGTTTTCCAGCCGTACCGGGGATTCGATCTCCAGACCTCAGTTTGTGAGCTGAGTGCGCTAGCAATCGAGCTATTGTGTAGTATACACAAATAACCCGCACATAGAAGAGAGGAGCTTACGACGACGTTTCGGTTATTTTTGTATCGTTCCAGCCACGGTATTGTGCCTTTTTTTGTTATTTATTGTGTAGTATGTGTCTTATCTCACGGCGAATCAGTGCTGGAGACGCCACACAGCCTTGGCAAGATTAACAAAGCCCCCCACTGACGAAACGGCTTGCTCAATAAATGTCTTGATTGCGCTTATGTATCTTGTTTCCTGGAAGGAATCTGTCAATCAGACTGAGTGAGAACAAATACGTATGCAGTAGGGACGATCAGAGCAGTGGCTGGGTAACCCACACGAGCAACGAACGCCAACTGATGACCTGGAACAGGGCACAAATAGTTTTCACGGTATTTGAGGGGAAACCACGACTGTGTTTGGAAGCATCGCTGATCACAGTTTGCAACATTATTAAACCAAATGCAAGATTTTACATTATTTCGATATTTTGGCCCACGTTTCGCCCAAATTTCATCGTGAGGTGGTCAAGGACTTCACCTCCTCTAAGTTTGACCTGATGAACATCAAAATGGTATACAATACCGACAGGTTGGTAGGTAAGACACATAGGCAACAGTTAGGCAACTCTATTCCGAAACGTTTCGCCTACACAGTAGGCTTCTTCAGTCGAATACAGAAAGTAGGCAGGAACAGTAGAGATGTGAAGACGATGTAATCAGTCCATCACCCTTGAAGTCGTAGAATTTGAGGTTGTCAGTCCCTCAGCCTGGAGAAGTTCAGTTTCATAGATAGTTCCTGACTATGGAACTGAACTTCTCCAGGCTGAGGGACTGACAACCTCAAATTCTACTTCAAGGGTGATGGACTGATTACATCGTCTTCACATCTCTACTGTTCCTGCCTACTTTCTGTGTTCGACTGAAGAAGCCTACTGTGTAGGCGAAACGTTTCGGAATGAAGTTGCCTAACTGTTGCCTATGTGTCTTACCTACCAAGTTTGACCTGATTTGACTGCTTCTTGCATCCATTCTCACCTTTTTTCACTTATGGTCGGTTAATGGGGTCATTAAGTATAGTTATTAAGACTGCACGTAACCTTCTTATCACCAGACAAGAATACTTTAATCCCTAAAATAAATTAAAGCAAACTCCCAACGTATGCGCTGGGAGAAATATACAACTCTGTATATATATGCTCGCACCTTACCTTCATATACTCTATTTATTTATACCCTTTGTATCAGGAATGAACACGGTCCCAGGACCGAAACGTTTCCAAATAAATGTTCCAAGTGTTTGCACGTATTAAAAGTGCAGTATGTACTGGTTATTAAAGTTAGTCACGAAACGAAATTTTCCAAAAAAGTGTCACCCTGGAGATCCTAGTGTTGATATTGACAGATGTCACGCACACTATCTTCACTGGGAATTCCATGTGTGAATCTCTGCATGTCACGCCAACAGCACTCATACTGTTAATAGTGCATTAGAACCTTTCACAGGAATCCTTCCCTTCAAGAGAGAGAGAGAGAGAGAGGTTCGCTGATGCTAGTGAATTGCTCTTCTTCCAAGAAACTAGAACTACTCTGTCTCTTCCACTGGACTGTAATAACATCAGTAATGAATACTTGTCAGTGCTCAGTAATAACCTACATGGAGACAGAAACTCGGAAGATTAATTGTCTGTATATTTCGACCCCCTTCTGGGATCCTCTTCATCTGCTGAAGGGATCCCAGAAGGGGATCGAAATATACAGATACATTAATCTTCAGACTTCCTGTTTCCATGTGGGTTATAACAATATAATATAATTTTTATGTGAAGCCACTTCCAGACAGGCTAAGAAAAGACTAATCCTAGTGAAAAAAAATCAATTTCAAAAATATATATAAATTTCAGATGCTAGAATTTCGAGGTCGTAACAACATGGCATAGAGCCATTCCCCGTTACAATTTAAACTGTAATTGCAATTCATGAAACGCTTTTATATCCAGGTGAGTTGTTCAGGACAGGGAGTGATGGAGACTCGATGTTCCGTCCGCTAATCGCCAGGCCTGGTCTGTATGACCAGTCAGGCTGTTGGTGATACTTGAAAGTAAACGAATGAAATGAGCATATTTAACAAATCCTAATTATCGACTGTACCATTCACTCAACTTCAAGGTTAATGTTCCAAAATACAAAGTTTTTCAAAGCTTAAACTGGTATTTGCATTATTATTATTATTATTAATATTATTATTATTTTATTATTATTAATAGTAGTAGTAGTTTATTATTATTATTAGATTCATGGGGAGCGCTAAACTCAGTGGGGTCATACAGAGCTTGTATATTCAGACATTGAGCTTCGGTCCGAAAAAAAGGGGAAGGAGAGGTACAATTCCTTGGATCAAAAGCCCTTCACCAGCATCACGAAATCCTCCTTACAAGAAGTTGCAGTTGTAGTGGATCACGATTAGCCAACGTTTCCAATCAAATAATCTGTTTTACTAGATTACGTTTCGCCCTTTATAGGCCATTTCCCGGTTGTGGTCCTCAAAAATAAAAAGGGTTGGATGTTTTATTATTATTAGTAGTAGTAGTAGTGCTAGTACTATTTGTAGATTTGTAGTAGTAGTTGTAGCAAAGAGTAGCAGTACTAGTAGCTAAGAGTAGCAGTACTAGTAGTACTAATAGTAGTAGTAGTCGTAGCAGCAACAGCAGTAGTAGTAGTAGTTGTAGTTATACCAATAGTAGTTGTAGTAGTTGTAGTAGTAGTAGTAGTAGTAGTAGTAGACGTACTAGTAGTAGCAGCAATAGTGTAAATACAACACTAGAGAAATGAGATTTAATCAATCTTTGACAATGGAAGGTAGCTCCGATTCCTAGTATCAAGAGCCCTTCCCCAGCATCACGGCACCCCCCCACCCCCAAGGGTAAGGATGATACAACACTGGCGTTAACAGTTAGTTACCTTAGGCCTTGAATCTGCAGTTTTCACACAGCCAAACTTTGACAGTTTCGACCTCCCAGCGTCTTGGTAAAATGTAAATTCTATGGTAAAATGTAAATTCTACATTATGAGCAAGTTTCAACACTTTCTTCTATAAACACGTACCAAATTTCGATTAAAATCATGTTTTATGCTCATGGAATTTGCTTAAAATAATTTTTAATGGATATAAATTAAGTTTTTTTTAAGTAGTGATCCAGTTCATTTCTTATTTCGTTCAAAATTATGTTTCATTCAGAGTTAATAGGTTAGATAATGAACGTTGTATCGAGCCTGAAGCAGCACAGAAGTGAGTGGGAGAGAACGAGAGCACTGGACACCAGCAGCACCAGGTATACCGCCCACCACCACTGTTTAAGACGCACTGAACAGCTCTCGCTCGCCCTGGTCTCCCTGACTCCCAGTACCGACTCCTGTCTACGGTACCGACTCCTGTCTACAGTGCCAACTCCTATCTATAGTGCCAACTCCTGTCTATAGTGCCGACTCTTGTCTACAGTATTGGCTCCTATCTACGGTACTGACTCCTATCTATGGTACCGACTCCTCTCTACGGTACAGACTCCTATCTACGGTACCGACTCCTGTCTATAGTACCGACTCCTGTCTACGGTACTGACTCGTATCTACGGTACCGACTCCTGTCTACCGTACCGACTCCTGTCTCTAGTGCCGACTCCTGTCTATGGTACTGACTTCTGCATTATATGGGAGAAGTAAGTCATATTATTTTTTCAAGTACCATATATGCGTATTTAAGCTAAAAATTGAGGTTCGTTAGAAAATTTTTGATATCGCAGTAAATTGTCGAAACATTTCATGCTGTCTATGGTACCGACTACTATTTAAAGTACTGACTCCTGTCTACGTACTGACTCCTGTCACAGTATCATCCCCTTTCTACGGTACTGACTCCTGTCACAGTATCATCCCCTTTCTACGGTACTGACTCCTGTCACAGTATCATCCCCTTTCTACGGTACTGACTCCTGTCTATTATACTGACTCCTGTTTAAGGTACCGACTCCTATCCACTACAATGGGTAGTATCCACCAGACCGACTCCTGTCCACCGGACCGACAACTGTCCACCGGGCCGACTCCTGTCCACGAGACCGAATACTATCCACCGGACCGAATACTGTCCACTGGACCTATTACTGTCCCCCGGGCCCATTACTATCCAGGCCGCCCACTAGTGGGTGGTAGGATATACAGACCGACTCCTGTCCACCGGACCGACAACTGTCCACCGGGCCGACTCCTGTCCACGAGACCGAATACTATCCACCGGACCGAATACTGTCCACTGGACCTATTACTGTCCTCCGGGCCCATTACTATCCAGGCCGCCCACTAGTGGGTGGTAGGATATACAGACCGACTCCTGTCCACCGGACCGACAACTGTCCACCGGGCCGACTCCTGTCCACGAGACCGAATACTATCCACCGGACCGAATACTGTCCACTGGACCTATTACTGTCCTCCGGGCCCATTACTATCCAGGCCGCCCACTAGTGGGTGGTAGGATATACAGACCGACTCCTGTCCACCGGACCGACAACTGTCCACCGGGCCGACTCCTGTCCACGAGACCGAATACTATCCACCGGACCGAATACTGTCCACTGGACCTATTACTGTCCTCCGGGCCCATTACTATCCAGGCCGCCCACTAGTGGGTGGTAGGATATACAGACCGACTCCTGTCCACCGGACCGACAACTGTCCACCGGGCCGACTCCTGTCCACGAGACCGAATACTATCCACCGGACCGAATACTGTCCACTGGACCTATTACTGTCCCCCGGGCCCATTACTATCCAGGCCGCCCACTAGTGGGTGGTAGGATATACAGACCGACCACTAGTGGGTGGCAGAACACACAGGACGGCCACTCGTGGGTGGTAGGACACACAGGCCGCCCACTAGTGGGTAGCAGAACACACAAACCGCCCACCCTCCTCTGCTACACTAGTGGGTGGCATAACATCTGGGCCGCCCATTGACACCTCTCAATGCTGGGTGGCACAAGCCCTTCATCAATATCTAAGCCTCCCACTAATACAGACTTCCCGGTAGGAATTACCAATAGGAATCTGGAACGGGAATCACCAACAGGAATTAACGGTAGGAATTAACAGCAGCAAATTAAGATTTAATCATTAGGAATTTCCAGTAGGAATTTGAGAATGAATTCTTTATCATTGCTTTCTTGAGAAGCGCTAAATCCGCTGTTTTTATCTCTTTATTTCGTTTTCTCCCTTTCTCATCATCATCTCTCTAAGTTCTTCCTTTCACTCTTTCTCCTTTATCCCTCTCTTTCTCTCTCTCCTCCCTCCGTCTCTCTTTCTCTCCTACCTACGTCTCTCTTTCTCTCCTGCCTCAGTCTCTTTCTCTCCTCCCTCCCCGTCTCTCTTTCCTCCCCCCTCCCCTCTCTCTCTCCCCCTCTCTCCCTCTCTCCTTCCTCCCCTCTCTCCTTCTCTCTCACACATGCCTCTTCCCCTCTTTAACACACATTTTTCTCTGCCACATTCTCAGTGACCACTCTTTTTCTTTTCTTCTTTGTATCCTTTTTACTTTCTTTTTATTACCATTTGTCTTTTCCTCCCTGTTTTTATTTTCTAGACCTCTAAATTTATCCTCTAAGTGAGTGTGTGGGGTATGTGTGTATGTGTAGAGTGTGGGTGTATGTGGAGAGTGTGGGTGTATGTGGAGAGTGTGGGTGTATGTGTAGAGTGTGGGTGTATGTGGAGAGTGTGGGTGTATGTGTAGAGTGTGGGTGTATGTGGAGAGTGTGGGTGTATGTGTAGAGTGTGGGTGTATGTGTAGTGTGTGGGTGTATGTGGAGTGTGTGGGTGTATGTGGAGAGTGTGGGTGTATGTGTAGTGTGTGGGTGTATGTGGAGAGTGTGGGTGTATGTGTAGTGTGTGGGTGTATGTGGAGAGTGTGGGTGTATGTGTAGTGTGTGGGTGTATGTGTGTGTTGTGGGGTGTATGTGTAGGTGTGGGTGTATGTGGAGTGTGTGGGTGTATGTGAGAGTGTGGGTGTATGTGTAGTGTGTGGGTGTATGTGGGGTGTGGGTTGTATGTGTAGTGTGTGGGTGTATTGTGGTGATGTGGTGTATGTGTAGTGTGTGGGTGTATGTGTAGTGTGTGGGTGTATGTGTAGTGTGTGGGTGTATGTGGAGAGTGTGGGTGTATGTGTAGTGTGTGGGTGTATGGTGGTGTGTGTGGGTTGTGATGTGGAGAGTGGTGGGTGTATGTGTAGTGTGTGGGTGTATGTTGGAGAGTGTGGGTGTATGTTTTTAGTGTGTGGGTGTATGTGGAGAGTGGGTGTATGTGTAGTGTGTGGGTGTATGTGTAGTGTGTGGGTGTATGTGGTAGTGTGGGTGTGTGTGTAGTGTGTGGGTGTTGTGAGTGTGTGGGTGTATGTGTAGTGTGTGGGTGTATGTGGAGAGTGTGGGTGTATGTGTATGTGTGGGTGTATGTGTAGTGTGTGGGTGTATGTGAGAGTGTGGGTGTATGTGTAGTGTGTGGGTGTATGTGGAGAGTGTGGGTGTATGTGTAGTGTGTGGGTGTATGTGGGAGAGTGTGGGTGTATGTGGAGAGTGTGGGTTATGTGTAGTGTGTGGGTGTATGTGTAGTGTGTGGGTGTATGTGTAGTGTGTGGGTGTATGTGTAGTGTGTGGGTGTGTGTGGAGTGTGGGTGTATGTGTAGTGTGTGGGTGTATGTGTAGTGTGTGGGTGTATGTGAGGATGTGTGGGTGTATGTGTAGTGTGTGGGTGTATGTGTAGTGTGTGGGTGTATGTGTAGTGTGTGGGTGTATGTGTGTAGTGTGTGGGTGTATGTGTAGGTGTGGGTGTATGTGTAGTGTGTGGTGATGTTGTGTAGTGTGTGGGTGTATGTGTATGTGTGGGTGTATGTGTATGTGTGGGTGTATGTGGAGTGTGGGTGTATGTGTAGTGTGTGGGTGTATGTGTAGTGTGTGGGTGTGTATGTGGAGAGTGTGGGTGTATGTGTAGTGTGGGTGTATGTGCAGTGTGTGGGTGTATGTGGAGAGTGTGGGTGTATGTGTAGTGTGTGGGTGTATGTGGAGGTGTGGGTGTATGTGTAGTGTGTGGGTGTATGTGGAGAGTGTGGGTGTATGTGTAAGTGTTTTGTGGTGTATGTGGAGAGTGTGGGTGTATGTGTAGAGTGTGGGTGTATGTGTAGTGTGTGGGTGTATGTGGAGAGTGTGGGTGTTGTGGAGAGTGTGGGTGTATGTGGAGAGTGTGGGTGTATGTGTAGTGTGTGTGGAGAGTGTGGTGTATGTGTGAGTGGGGTTGTATGTGTAGTGTGGGTGTGTGGAGAGTGTGGTGTTGTGTGAGAGTGGGGTGTAGGAGAGTTGGGTGTATGTGGAGAGTTGTTGTGGTGGAGTGTGTATGTAGTGTGGAGATGTGGGTGTATGTAGTGTGTGGGTGTATTGTGAGTGTGGTGTATGTGGAGATGTCTGGGGTAGTGGAGAGTGTGGTGTATGTGAGTGTGTGGTGTATGTGGAGTGTGCATGAGTATGTACGTGCAGTCACATGTTTGTGGGAATGGGGGAATGTGTATGTGAACTCACCTAATTGTGTTGCATCTGGACGACTTCCTGGCCCCGCCTCATTCATTGATCGCTATAGGTCCTCTTTGCTCCCTGAGCTTGTCATACTATCTAAAGATATGGTTCCTGCTCCACTGTATCATTGCTAACTATTCCATTTCTGACAACTCTATGACTGAAAGAAGACTTCACATCCCTTGACTCGTCTGAATCTTAGCTTCCAGTTGTGACCCCTTGTTTCTGTTCCCCTACTGAAATGCTTGTGTGAGTTGTGTGTGTGGTGTTGGCGTGCGCGCGCCCGTATGGCATACGTTGTGAATGCCTTTGGGAATAATATTTTAAATCTCTACACTTTCAGGTATTTACATATCTTAAATACGTTTATCCTATTCAGCGAACTCAGGAACCTTTAAATAGTTTAGTAAGTTGTAAACTGCCTTTTATCACTTGTTATCAAACAAAACTCTCTCGTCTGTAGTTAGTGAATACATTAGGTATCAATTATAGGTTTGTAAAAGGGCACAAATGCAACTAATGTGATATTTTAATGTGAAGTTGTGTCAATCTCCCGAGCTTGTTAAGGTTGAATACTTGAAAAGTATTATATAGGTTTATAGCGAGGTGTATGGCTCAATACTAACATGTTGTAGAGTAGTTAGTAGTTGTAATACTAACAGTAGTAGTAGTACAGTAGTTGTAATACTAAACTAGTAGTAGTAGTTGTTAAGTGTCAGTGTAATTGTAGTAGTAGTTGTAATACTAACACTAGTAGTAGTAGTTGTATAATAC